ATATATATAGTCAATGGCGCCGCGTGTGTGCTGTACGTGCGGGCTTGTTCTTGCTGCCAGTGCTCAAAAACTCTGTTGAAAGTCGCGCAAGTGCGCCGTGGGAATACTGTGTTGGCATTCTGGCTCTATTGAGTCGGCATTCTGACACAGTGGAGGCTATCGAGTCGGCGTGTATGTACTGCGACTCCCAACAGGAGTCGTGCGAGATGGCCGTCGAAAAGTGATTAGCCGGCACCTTGACTTGAGTGGATCGACGGAGGGACTCTGTAATACGGCGTTACAGTACATGCACACGACGTTACGCACACGCAGGCATTCAACACCCCGAGTAACCGATTGTAACCAATCATCGGTTACTTGGGTCCAACCGATGATCGATTACGAAATTACAACCGATTGACAACACTATAATATATAGATATCAGGGCCAGCAGGCGCATCCAGCAAGTGCCGTAGGAGCGAAGTCAATCTAGGGGGGTCCGGGGTTTTTGGATTATTTTGTATTAAATTTTTTTTATTTTGGATAGTCTGAAACTCAATTTCCTGCATTCTGAGCAATAAAAAGCCCATATATCAGACTGACAAATTTATTGTTTTTTTTAGGTAAAAAAAAAGGAAAAACGGGGGTTTTAGAGGACAAAGTGCAATATCTGAGATATGCATTTATCAACAGCTTGGATATACATAGAAAAGAGAAAACAGTACAATTTGTGTTAGACAAATATTTGCTACTATTAAACATGATAGCCAGACTACTGCCAGTCACAGTTCCTGTCAGACTGCTTCAGTTCCAAACAAGTGGACACAAACTACAGTGTATTTAGTCTACGATTCTGTCTTTTTTTTTCTTTTTTCTTTTTTTAAATTAGTGCCGGGCGGAGATAACCGACTCGTTTATAGTGCCGGGCGGCAACCGCGAGTGCCGGGCACACCCGCCCACCGTGGGCAGAACCCTGGATATATAACATTTTTATGCTTAGTACATTTAGTAGCCAAAACTTCCCAAATGCACTGCACTTTCTAAATGCAAAACTGGCTTATTAGTTTTGATAACCGTTATGTACCATGATATTAAAGGAATCAATTGACTAATAATTACTATTAATTTTATAAATGTGTAAATTGTAAAAATTGCAACTTGCTGAAAACTTTGCCACTATGTGGCAGTTAGAGAAGTGATTCACCAAGTGCTGATGACCGTAATTCCGAGTTTTGGAAGTGCACTGATTCCTTATCATGGCTTTTCTATTGCATTCGTCAATGTTTGTAAATTTGAAGTGAAATTAAATTGTAGGAGATAGCTTTTCCATGTGAGCAATCGAGAGCGTGATCCGGAGCAAAATCGTGTGAGTAAAAGAGGGGTAGCGAAGAGGGAGGGGGAAGGAGGGTCAAGGTGGGGGAAGAGAGAAGGGGGAGATATGTCAGATATACACTCACGTTCACGCATGTAGCATTTCGCTCCTCACTGGGCCTCGATCATAGGGTCTATGTCCCCCAGGGTACTGCCGGAACGTAACCTGGTAACTATTTGATATGGTATGGGTTAGGGAGTAGTCGTAGGCGACTCCCTATAGACTCGTTAGTGGAGTAGGTGAGGTACGGTCCGCCATATTAGATAGTGACCAGGGTACCTTTCGGTATACCGGACCGTACCCAGGGTACGTTCCGGCAGTACCCTGGGGGACATAGACCCTCTCAGCAGTGGCGTAGCCAGCAATTATTGGAAACAGGGGGGGCCAAGGCGAGGGAGCGAAGCGACCGAGGGGGTAGGGTGTGGGTGGGGTATCCCCCCTCCCACGGTAGGGAGATTTTTGAAAATTCGTGCATGAAAATGGCATTTTCTGCACACTAAAGAGTTCATATTAGGGTAACTATTGAGAATGGCATTATGCTAATCCTTATAACCCCCCTCCCTCGCTTTTTTATTTTTTCCACTCCGATCGCGATCAAACGTGGAAACGATGCCCCTGCTGTGGCGCCGGAAGCTCTGAAGGTTACACACGACCAGTTGTGACCCTTATCTTGAGCCAGTGAAAATGGGTACCGAACCAGTGTTTTCAGGAGGGGAAGA